GCAGTTACGTATTCAGGAGGGGTTTATAGTGGATTTCTTTTCATTCTATTGTTGTGAACACAATTAAAGACTTCAAGTACACTCCATCATGCTTAGAGATAGTAAGTGGGGAACACGATGACTTTGTAATGCTTCTTTCTGTTGGATTTTATTATCTATGTAATTCAAATTGGTTTGTAAAGTGGTTTAGCAATCTTTCGCTTTTTTGCATCTTCTATCTTAATTATGATTCTGGAAATTTTAAAATTTCTACAACTTTCACATATCAAATCAGTAGATTGTCCGAATGTGCAAAACAACTTACCCTTCGGACATAAGTAATGAGCTGTAGCATATGCTGACGTGTACTGTGAATAACATCATTTCCAACACTTTGTAGAGCGCTTTAAGATTTCAACCTATGAATAATATCGATATATCATCAAGTGAGAACTACGAGTGGCTCTATGCAACAGATGAGAATTGAATGTGAACCTACTGATGCTGAAATTTGTTGTATCTAAGGTTTAGTTATTTAACCAGTCTGTTTTTTTCAGCACAGCTTTATTGTTAACGCTCCTGGCCCCGAGGTTCTTCAAGCCATTATAAGGGATGCTAGTGAGATCCAGCTTAATAACAAGGTACGGTCTGTTGTACTCTACGATTAATGCGGCTCCATGTAAATTTTCCTGAGAAATGCATACCAAACCAAGCGCATATTTCAAACTTGTTAATTCAAGAACAGTTATGCACTAGAAATAATTTCTTTCAGTTTCGAAATCTCACGGACTGTGTAGTTTTGAACTGTATGTCATTTCAGAAAGTATCTGGAAATTTACGTTTTGTTTCGGAAAAAAATCTATTTGAAAGCGTTTGAATTTGAGCCGGGCACCTTTACCGGAGCTTGTTTGAATAACAGTATACCGGAACAAATACAATGCTTGTCAATGAGAGAGCAAGCGAGTACAAAAAAGCCTCTTGCCTTAAATGGCCAAAAAGGATAATCAAGATGTCGGTTTGAGCGAGGCCTGCAATTTTTGGAAAGTTGAGGCTTGTTTTTATCCAGCTACCCATTGTACTGGTCAATAGAGCTTGTTTTGAGAGAAATTAAGTCAAGAGATGAGCGTTTTTTTTTATTGGCAGCTTTTTTTTCAAAACATCACTATCTTCTTCGGTTTCAAAAACTAGCCTGAATGAACGATAGTAG